ATTACATGTATTTTGAACATCTAAGAGCTTCATTTGCCTTTATTTTTTTTCTCATGAGATTTCACAAAACAGAAAAAAATGAGGATTATGTTTTCAGTAGTGTTTTAAATGCAATAGTGAATATATTACCAGTGATAATTTGCATAATTTTTACTCTTTCCTTTTATCAGCCATCATTGGCCTACAAATTTATGAGTAAATGACACTTCTGAGTTTGTATTTACTATATACAAATAATCCTCAACAACCCTGTTCCAGGGCTAGGAATATGTGTGCTATTATGCTGACTGTTAGCAATGTTGCTGTTGGAAATGTGTTCCTGTGGTTTTGTTTTTGGAAATATTAAGAATAAAAACAGTTAATTAGAGCCTTTAGATGTCTATCAGAGAATTAAAAATTACATTTTTTTTAAAGGGCTGGGCACAGTGACTCACACCTATAGTCCGAGCTACTCCAGAGGCTGAGGTGGGAGGATTGCTTGAGCCTGGGAGGTAGAGGCTGCAGTGAGCTGTGATCATGACACTGCACGTCAGCCTGGGTGGCAGAGCAAGACCCTGTCTCAAGAAAACAAAACAAACAAACAAACAAAAAATGAAAAAAGGTCATTGCAGGTGGCTCACTATATTTCCCTTCTGTTACAATTTAGCAACCGGGAAGCACTAGAAACAGGCAACTTTTATTATATTCTATTGATATTTTCAATTTAATAGCTTGGATCAATACTCTAGCTAAGTCAAAACAGTTTAGCCCCATAATCTCTAGAAGTGAAATTCCCTCTTTTATGAGAGGGAATTTATGACTAACCTGGGTTATATTTGAAAGTCATTTTCCTATTCAACTTTTGAGTGACATGAAATGAAGTCCCTAAAACACAGCAACAATTCATGTAGTACCCTGGGACACTGAAGGAGAAGAGTGAGCAAGAGGTTCGGCCGTATAGTCACTCCTCTGATGCCTGCATAAGGGTGAGAAAAAGAGACAGTGTCTAGAAAAGTGACAGCAGGAGGAAGCCAGGGAACCTTTGTTCTTCCGAAGTTTCTGTAAGGATCATCCCCCTAACACTGATGTCCTGATTCCCACTCCATTATTTTATTAACGTGCAGAGTTGAAGATCATCAGTGAACTTCTTCTGGCCAGACTCAATATCCTTTTCCTTATCCTCATCTTTTATTAGATTGGTGAAAAAGTAATTGCTATTTTTGCCATTAAAAGCAATGGAAAAACCACAATTAATTTTACACCAACCTAATAGTTATTAATCATTTTACCCTACCTTGATCACTAGGTGTTTTGTAATGTACTAATCTCGACTACTTTACTTGGCTCTCTGTTGTTTGTTTGTTTGTTTTTGGAGACGGAGTCTTGCTCTGCTGCCCAGGCTGGAGTGCAGTGATGCGATCTCGGCTCCTTGCAACCTCTACCTCCCGAGTTCGAGCAATGCTCTTGCCTCACCCACCCAAGTAGCTGGGATTACAGGTGTGCACCACCTCAGCTAATTTTTGTATTTTTAGTAGAGAATAGGTTTCACCATGTTGGTCAGGCTGGTCTCCAACACCTGACCTCGTGATCTGCCTACCTTGGCCTCCCAAAGTGCTGGGATTGCAGGTGTGAGCCACCGCGCCCGACCAGCTTTCTCTCTGTTGTTTTTGTGGAAGCCGCTCAAGCTCTGAAGAGTCCAACAGTATTAGCCCCTCTTTCTTTTTTTTCTCTTTCTTTCTTTCTTTTTTTTGAGACAGAGTCTCACCCTGTTGCCAGGTGCCAGGCTGGAGTGCAGTGGCATGATCTTGGCTCACTGCAACCTCTGCCTCCTAGATTTCAAGCAATTCTCCTGCCTCAGCTTCTTGAGTAGCTGGGACTACAGGTGCAGGCCACCACACCCAGCTAATTTTTGTATTTTTAGTAGAGATGAGGTTTCACCATGTTAACCAGGATGGTCTCCATCTCTTGATCTCATGATCTGCCCGCCTGGGCCTCCGAAAGTGCTGGAATTACAGGCGTGAGCCACTGCGCCAGGCCTGTATTAGCCCCTCTTTCTGTATTCCCACTTAGTGAGTGCATACAAAATGCATCTCATTTAATCGTCATACCATGTATGCAGCTTAACCCAGTAATTTAGGAGGTTTCTGATTACATATAATCTTGTATGAGCTCTTCTGTGTGGGGGAAGGGTATGTGTATGTGTCTGTGAATCTGTGTGACTCTGTCTTAATCTCTGTATGTATGAGTTGTATTTGCTCAGATTGTAAGTGCTTAAAAATAGAAAATTCTAGAGGCAACTTGAGCATGTATTTTAGTGAGAGCTATGTCCAAATAGTGCTGTTCTTCATTATTAACTTTTATAGGTCTCTAAAGTTCTCTGAGACCCACTTTCCTCATCTTTAAAATATGTATAATAATACTCACCCACAAGATAAAATAAATTCATAAATAAATATATGCATATAGCATACAGTGTACCTTCAATAAATGATTTTTCTTGTTTTAACTTTTCTCACATCACCCATTCTAGTAATACAATGTTAAGTTCAGTTTTAACATTCTAATAATACAATGTTAAGTTCAGTTTCAACACTAATTGACTGAAACTAACAAGATTAGGAAAGTTGAGATGTACTGAGCTAGTTAACTACATCTGGCTACCACAGTCTCTTAACATGGTATATTATAAAAACATTTATCTGAATAAGTCACTTCAGTGACTAATCGCTATATTATTTTCCTAAGGAAATGAAAATGCCAGGAAAATAGATGCACAATACTTTTAGTGTCGTTATGTGTCTCTTAAATATTAACAGAGTTGTTCGTAGTATTATTTTGAAGGGTTTATAATATGAAAAATACAGCATCTAATTTCCACTTGAATTCATATGCTATGAGTTATTTTATTTGGGCTTAATTTTTATTTAGTAATTAACAGACTCAGAGATGGCAAAATTTGCTGAGGGAAAGTATACCAATAGAACATACAAATGGGAATCAAGTAATTCATAAAAATAAAACCTGGTGTCTTGACATAAAATCCTAAACATCGTACTGTAGTTTTTTTTGAACTAGTAAAGCCAGAAAGATTTAAACTTAATGCACCAATGATTGCAGCCACAGTGAAATGAAACTGTTTCTTAACCCCAAAGAATCCAGGCTCCCGATTAGCTCATGAGAAGACAATTATTTATAATAGCACTTACTGGTAGAGAGAAATGAGTGAAACCTTAGATGGGCACTTAGACGTGACTAAGGCGGTTTTTATTTCTGATCCCAAAGCACCGAAGTGGAAGTCTGCAGTGACTCAGAGCACTGTGATGGCCCAGCTGTCCAGGGGCATACCTCTCTAGCGTGTAGTCAGGCATCACCGGAGGGGGGACTCACCGCAGAGGAATCGGCACATGTATTGACTCACCTGACACCGTCTTACCAGTAGTGAAAAAGAGGAACATTTCGTTAATCTTCTATTAGAAGTTAATTTTCACTGATTCCCAAAGCACATATGAAATAGCACACTGGGCCTAATTAATGCCTGCCTAGCTAATACTCTGCCTCTGGAAATAATAACCAGGGGCCATTTTCATAAGAAGCTTAGTAATGTCTTTCTAATATATTGATCTAGTTATTACCATTTTTTTCTGAAAGCCCTTCATTCACTGGTGAAAGAAGCAGCCTGCTTTATTTGAGATATTTATTTTACAGCCTTATCTCCTTGTGTTGGAATATGTCAGGTGAATCTGTCCAAAATCATTTAAGATACTCGGCATAAAATGGATACACCTAGGGAGAGAACACTTACTAGTATGGCCAATCATGGGTGTGCTCCTTATTCCAAGAACGGCCACTTCTATTTTCTTCTGTTTGTTATTTTTTGTTAATTTGGAACTCAGATGAGTTAGGAAGCTTCATTACATATTTCTATGACTGGGTTTGGGGCCTCTTGACAGTGGTCTTGACTACTGTCAAGAGACCCCAAACCCAGTCATAGAAATATGTAATGAAGCTTCCTATATAACATGATATTTTGTATTTTGGCATAACATTTTTGGCTTAAATGCCAAAATATTGCTGCTCTATGTTATTTTCTTAATAATTTATTCTATTTCTCTTTTAAAATAGAACTTGCCTAAGGATATCTATATACAGATACATTTCATCCATGAATAAAACAGATTGGAGTCAACAAAGATTATAGGCCTAAAAGTATATTGTTTTGCTTGGTTTTGGACAGTGCTGATTAAATGCATATGTTCACTTGATAATTCTTCTGGATATGTCTTTTCTGAGTCTTCCCTCCCAGGATTACGAGCTTTCTCCTTGTGCTCCCGTAATACCTGTTTTTACCTGCTTCATACCTACCTATTTCTGTTCCATTTCCTCCGCTAGAATTTGAGTTCCCTGTGGCTGGGACCATTCTACTTGTCTTTATCTCTTTAAAATCTAGCAAAGCATTTGACACATACCGAGTTATTGAAAGTGTTTATTCGATGAGGGAACAGTGTCAGATTATTAATCTATGATGTTTCAGTGTGATGACTTGTAAGAAAAATGTGGTTTTTTTTTTTCCCTAAAACAGTAAAAACAATGCAGTTGGCTAATCTGATGAGTAATCATTAAGGTACAAGTTATGGACTGTTTGCTGATTTAGCTTATGGTCTGCAAATACTATAGTGCCATTTTAAAGCTTTAAATGATAGACAACTTTACTTGATTTATGAATATCATTTATGTTAACAATGGGAACCCCATACACTGTCTTCAAATAGTTCTTGATAATTACATATATCAAATGGAAAGAATATGCATATATATTTCAATAGCTGGATTTTGAAATTTGGAGCACAGAGGTGGAGTGTCATTTTATATTGAGAATGGAAAGTCAGGAGCCTTGCGACACATGATGCAATTGCTTCCATGGAATATTTTCAGACCAATAGGAGTTTGTGAAGAACTTTTATGGACTGTATAAATATTTTGAGCTGTAGGCATCATTACCAGCTGATATTTTCTTTCCTCAGGACCAGCTGTTCAGGAGCACCACGGACGAGAGCCAGGCACATTTGAGACTTGGATCTAACTAAAGACCGCCGCAGATTCTTCTGCAGCAATGTCGGTGTTAGAAGAAAATCGGCCATTTGCTCAACAGTTATCCAATGTCTACTTTACAATACTTTCGCTGTTCTGTTTTAAGCTTTTTGTGAAAATCAGCCTTGCCATCCTCAGTCATTTCTACATCGTGAAAGGCAATCGCAAGGAAGCAGCAAGGATAGCAGCTGAATTTTATGGAGTATCTCAAGGACAAGGTATGTTTATGATAATCCTCTCTTGTTTCAAGTGGAGTTTAACTCTCATTTGATCCACAATTACATGTTTCCTTTTTAGACTGCTTCAAGGTAAATATTTTATAAACTTCTATTAAGGAAAATACTTGTAACTCACTTCATGGGTTATAAAAAGGAAAATTACTTTCTTATGTAAATGTTCATGTTAAAATCAAGGTATGATTGCAAAAGATATTAAGGGAGACATACAGTATATATAATAGGAATAACAGGAATATATATATTCTTAAGAAATAATTTAAAAAGTTAAACATTTAATTTGCCAAGTCATAGTATTACAGATTAGTTTTAGAAGTAAGTAAACGCACTTCAATCATCCTTTAATGTATACCTGGATTGCATAATTTTAAATCAAGTATTTAGTTATATGTAAAATAATTGTTATTAAAAGAGGGGATTTCAAGATTTCGTTTCTCACAACTTTAATAAGATAACCATTTGACTCTAAAGTAAAGCACACACAAAAAAGTTTGACAGCATGTGTTTTTCTGATGGAATTGTTATTGCTCAGCTCAGTTTGTGGAAAATTGATTATAAAAGGATAGAAACATAATCAATAAATTTTATATGTGTGCAGCCAAGTGCATTCATGTTCCTCAGCAGAAACTGTGGTATGAAACCAAATGAGAAACAATATTACCCATAGACTTTAAAAGGCTGTAAAACCATTTAGGTTCTATTGGATCAATATTCTAAAAAACAAAAATTATTCATATGGCAGGCTTTAAAGTGCCATTTTTAATTCTCATAGATTTCAGATTCATTTCTGATTTGAAAATCAACAGGCATGCATGAATGTTTATAGCCCAAATTCCTCCAAAACAAGTTAAATTGTCAGAATCAAAATTTACTTTCCACACAATTTAAACATGTAAACTTGAAAGAAAAATCACTTAGAGTAGAAAGCTTGCCGTCTTAAATTCCATTTTCATATGTTTTTCAATGTGGGATGTGACTCATTTTAAAATCTAGGTTACTCTATTGGTACATGGAAAGTTAAGTGAAGGCGGAAAATTTTTTTTAGTGTGTGAGGTAGATAATGAGTACATTTTTCCTGAGGAAGATTGCAATTTTGCAACATGAGGGATTGATGTTCTCACTCAAACAGGAAAATATAAATGCTCGTAAGAATCTCTCATAGGGAAGATAAAAATCTCAATTAAATAGGCAGCATTTAATCCTTTACCTACCACCTCTGCCTTAGAACAGAGACAACTATATTTTATGTATTTATTTATTTTCCTGGAGTCTGGGGCTCACACTGTTGCCTCGACTGGAGTGTAGTGGCTCAATCATGGCTCGCTACAACCTTCAACCCCTGGGCTCCAGGGATCATACTGCCTTGGCCTCCTAAGTAGCTAGGACTACGGGTGCATACAACCATGCCTGGCTAATTTTATTCTTTGTAGAGACAGAGTGTCAACATTGCCCACTTACTGTGGTCTCAAACTTCTGGGCTCAAGTGATCCTCCTGCCTGAGCCTCCCAAAGCTCTGGAATTACAGTTGGGAGCCTTCATGCCGGGCCTGAACTGTAACAAAATGTGACATATACACTATGTGATTCATCTGTACATAAAAAAATTTAGTTGACCATATTTGTAGATATATGACTAAACAGCTTACATGTTCATAAGATGGTAACATTTACCCTCATAGACAGCCTGTAGCACATTACTTCGTAATCAGATCTTGTCTATGTATTATGGGAAATGCTGTACATTAACACATGAAATATTGCCTAAACAGAAGAAACTTTTTTGTGGGTTGACAAGGGTTTTAGAGGAGGCCATGGAAGCTCCTTACTGTACATATTTTCCAGTAAAAAGAAACACTCATCCCCTCATTAGACTGATCTTAGTGTGCTCATGTTGGGCAATCATGAAAATATATGAAACAGTTTCCATGTTCCCATAGGCTTTTAGGATTCTATTTTAAAATAAATTAGAACTCTAGGATTTTTTGTCTCAAGAAGGAAAGAAAAAAGGAAATGAGTATCCATTAATAGGAAACACTTTTCCTGGAAATATAAGATGGAAGCAAAGTTCTTAAAAATTTTGTTTTGTGTTACTTTTAATGTTAGATCTATTTAATGAAATTTCCCCTCTAATATCATGTATTAATCTGTATATGAAACAATAGAATATAGTATTATAATTTGTATTCGATATAAGCATAATTTATTTCCAATTTTATTTTAACATTAAGAGAACAAATTAGGTACCTTATAAAACTCTTTCTTAGTCTACTTCTAAGCGTTCATTCTTTCTTGCCCGGGAAAATGATTACTTTCTCCATTTTAACAGCTTTTTCTTTTAGTTACTATAAGTCAACTATTTTTTTATTTTGTGTATATCCTTGTAATTCACTAATTAGGCTTAATTATCTCTGTTTAATCCAACGATTTCCTCTTTCCTGGGAGAGATTATCACCTTCATTCCACTTTGAATTGTGTTTCCATTTCTACTTTCAAGGCTTAGCCAGATGGCTCCCCAACATTTCTGATATGGAGTTGCCAAATTCCATGAAATAAGAGATGGTGTGTATATTTTCATGTCTTTCATAATCACAGAAGACCCTGTTGACAACATTCTGGATGTCCTCCCCATAAGCAGTAGTACTTTGGTGTGAAATAAAAGGAACTCTTAATTTTTTAGATACTATTGCAAATCAGCTGATTGTATTAGACAAATGTATGGTGTTTTTCTGTTTGTTTGTTTGTTTGTTTTTAAAGCTCTTTCCTGTCAGGCTTGAGACCAAGGTATGATTACCCATGAAAATGCTGAAAATCTAAATGGTATCTAAAATAGCTTAAGATGTTTCCTTCTTGATGTTTTTGATATTTTATTAAACTTTACACATCTATCTTTTCATCTCTAAAGACTTTTATCACCCTCATCATTGTACTTCAGGGGCCTATTCTTTGCTTTGCTTTTTTGCGTAACTATCTTCTGTATCGTTCTTGCTGCTGAGTGTCCCGATTACAATCTTTATATATCAGAGGCCTAGTCTAATCTCGAAGCTAACTCTAGACTTTGAAACTGATAGGGAGACTACCAGGCCTTGAAGGCTATACTGAAATATTAAACAGTGTACAGAGAGAATGAGGATGTGGAGAAATGGATTAATTTGGTGAAATCATACCAAAGGCCTAGAAGAAGCCATGAACTGCTTTACTCCCAAAGATATTTCAAGAGGCAGCTCTTCTCTTCTGTTAAGGACAATACTTTTCAAGTTCTATTTTAGGCTCTGAAGTTTAGCAGTTTTTGTCACAAATAGACAGGACAAGTTCTAAGCATTGATTTTCTGAGCACCCTGATATCAAGACACTGAGGTTACAGTATACATAAAAGGCAAAATGTATGGTTCTCATCCTTAAGTTTATATTCTAATTGAGGAGATAGGATATCTACAGATAGCAGTCACTTTCCAGAATACTCACTGTCAGATGATGCCAAAGAATGAATGGGTCATTTTCCAAGTTGTCCTTTTAGAGATATCTTCAAAGAGAAGGCAGATCTTGAGATGACTCCAGGAAATGAGAGAGGCATGGATTTATGGGTACACACTGATAACTGGAAGACAGTAGATTTGGCTGGAATGGAGAGTTCATGCAGTAGTAAAAAAAATCATGTGTTTCACTAGATGTGAAAGAATTTGAATTTCATGCCAAACAATTCAGACTTAACTTTGAAGGTAATGGGCATCATTGAAAGTTTTTGTTATGAAAGAAGGTGGGAAAATAAAAACATTATGTATTAAACCACAATTTAAAGTAGATTTATATAGTAATATTCTTTGGAGTTGAACAAGAGAGATTTGAAATAAGTTGATCAGTTAGGACCTTGCCATGAGGAGATGAGGACTTAGTTTTCTCCTGGTAGTATGGACAGAAAACAAAGAATGGCAACAGAAAATAAAGAAAAGGAAAAGAAGAAAGAAAAGAATCTGATGATCCTGTAAATAGCATTCAAATTGTCTTTAAACTGACAGAAAGAGCAAATATTACCTTAGAGTAACATTTTAACATATTACTTTCTTCATTATAACATAGCTTTTTCTCCCACAGTTAGATATTAACATATCAATCAGAAGATTCATTAGCCACACAGGCCAAGTCTACAGCCTCCAGCCAAGGCCACTCCTTGAAAGTATGACTCTTAGAGCTTGGTGAGTCTGGTAGGTTACATACCTACCTCCACTGGAAAATATCAATGTAGATCAGGAAATAACATAATTAGAATCTGAATTTTAGTCTTGCATTTGATTTATTTAATGTATTCTTTTTGTTCAAATTTATATTTTTAAGCACCAAGCTTTCCAGTTATGACTTAGCTCCCATCTTGATCTGTCCACAAAAAGAAAATGTGCCAGCTTGCCCTCAGGACTGTTTTAGTCCATCTGACATTTATAGGTCTTGTTGCAAATTAACATATTTGCATCTCGATATCAAGCATCAGTATTTTGTGTTTGTTGAGTTGTAAGTCCACTTCTGAGATGTAAATTTGTTCTAGCTCTGCTGACAGATTTCTGAGCCTGAAAGACCATGGACCAAATTTTGGATTGTGGAAAATTTATCAAGATAATATGTCTCTGTGAGGCTGCTTGAGAAACAGTCTGATGACACTCAAGCTCTTCAGATGTACCTTTCACGGCTGAGATTACATGTAGAATACAGAATGTATATAGAATCATCGTATAGAATATTTATGCTTGTGATTTCATATTACATGTAGAATACAGAAGGTATGTAGTATCATCGTATAGAATGTTTATGCTTGTGATTTCATAAGTTTTGTTTTAGGGTTGCCATTAAACATGCAATTATTTTTTGTCCAATTTATGGTAGACACTTGGACATAGGACATAGTATAAATGTGTGACCTTAAGCTGAATGGCAGGAGAACTTGGCATTTTGGAGACTAGTGTATGTAATCTGGATAGGAAAAGTAGCTAGAATTTG